TTCCTGCGAGCAGATCCAGAGGAGGAACAGGAACATGGACAACGGCAACAGCGGCCGAAACAGAGGAAGAAGTAGCAGCAGAAACGACCGCAACTGGAACAGAAGGAGCAAACCGGTAAGAAATTACTATTACAGGTTCCACAGGGAGGAAAACGGCAGCAGCAACAGAAGAAGCCCCAGCAGCTGCAGAAGAAGCGACCAGCGCATCCGGAAGTGCAGCACCAACAGCGGAGACAGGAGCAGCTGGAACCTCAACAGCAGCCCCAGCAACAACAGACGTGGAGCGAGGTTGTGAAGAAGAAGAGGCCACCGAAGCCGGCTCGACAACCACGATCGGCCACAGACCAAGTGGCGCTCCTGTGGAAGCGGACTCCGCGATCCATGGCGGTCACCATCGACCGTCCGGCCAAAGGAGGCTCTTTAGCCTCCGTGATGAAGAAGGTGTCAGGATCGATCAACCTTCAGACACTCGGAGTCAAAGTCCTGACGACCAGGAAGACCAGGGCGGGTGGCATTCTCCTCGAAGTCGAGGGGAACGGAAAGGCTACCCTACAAGCCGGGAAGATCCGCGAGGTGGTAGGAGACGCGGCCAGGGTGAGGCTACCCGAACCCCGTACGCCCGTCCTGCTGCTAGGAGTTCCGGAATGGGCAGAGGCAGAGGACGTCGTCGCCGGCGTCACGCAGGCGGGAGTCACCGGAGTCACCTCCGAGAACGTGACTATCCGCAAGAACTCCGGAGGAAGAGGGGAGTTTGTCGCGAGCCTCCACCTGCCGCTGAGGGACGCCATCACGCTGGCGGAGAAGAAAGCGGTCACCGTGGAGTGGACCAGGTGCAGGGTGAAGTTGTTGGCTAACAACCAGCCAACCTGCTTCCGCTGCCAAGGGAAAGAGCATCTAGCTGCCGAGTGCCGGGGCGAGGCCAAGCCCCGCCACTGCCACAGATGCAAGAAAGTCGACCACCTGGTGAAGGACTGCGCACTCCAGGAGCAAGTACAACAGCCGCAGCCCTCGACCTCAAGACTCGAGGCGCCTGCAGAAGCGAGCAGAGCGGAGTGATGGATCTCAACTTCGTACAGTGCAACCTCAACCACTGTCGCGTGGCACAAGACCTTGTCGCGCAATTCATGGTGGAAGAGAGAGTCGACGTCGCCCTGATCAGCGACCCCTACAAGGCGGACCCAGATTCCAGTGCCTGGCACGCGAGCGCCGGACAACGGGAGGCAGCCATCTACGTCGCGAACACGGGGGTAACGGTGGCCAACGTCATCAGCGATCCCGAATTCGTGTCAGCCCGGCTCAACGGCATCCAGATGTACAGCTGCTACGCGTCGCCCAACAAGCCCATCGAAGACTTCCAGGACCTGCTCCGCCGTCTCGAAGACAGCATCAGGACCGTCCAACAGGAAGTCCCCGTCCTCGTCACCGGGGATCTCAACGCGAGATCCGCTGCGTGGGGCGACTGGGTCGACAACAGAAGAGGAGAAGAACTGGAGCTGCTGATCGAATCCCTCGGTCTGGTCGTCGCGAACTCAGGCTCGACTCCGACCTTCTCCAGGGGCGCCGGATCCATCGTCGACGTCACCCTGTCCTGCGACTCCTTGGCAGCTCGCATCACAGACTGGAGAGTACTGGAGTCGGTGTTCAACAACAGCGACCACCACTACATCAGGTTCTCCCTGACACCCGGACGCGAATAAGACAGGGCCACTCCCGCGACCAACGTCGCCCCGCGCGCCTGGAACACCGCGGGCGGTGTCGCCAACGACACCTTCCTAGCCGGACTGCTCCTGGCCGAGTGGCTCGAAGAAGACAGTCTCCGGGACTGGCAGGACGCTGAGCGCGGGGCCTCCGCACTTCGGTCGAGGGTCTCAGCCGCCTGCGACTTCGCCTTTCCCGCCCGTCGGACGCCGAACCCGAGGAAGCCTCCCGTTCACTGGTGGAACGCGGACATCGAGGCTCTCCGCGCCGACTGTACGAGGGCCAAACGCCGGGTGACGAGAATGAACGCCCGAGTGTTAAAACTGAGAAGCCGCCAAGACCGGGACTTCGACGAAGAACGGGCAGAAGCAGAGCTCGCCACGACCAACGGCGCGTACCGGGAAGCCAAGAAGCAGCTGAAGATCGCCATCCAGCACAGCAAGAGGACGTGCTGGAAAGAGCTCATATCTTCAGTCGACGCCGATCCGTTCGGGAAGCCGTACAAGCTGGTGATGCGCAAGCTGAGAGGACCCCCACCAACGGCTTCGATGGAACGCGAGACGCTGCAGACGGTCGTCAACACCCTGTTCCCGAGACACCAGGAGAGAACGGACGGGCCGCCGGTTCCCGCGGATCCGGTGGTCCCGTTCACGGCTTCGGAAGTGGACTCGGTGGTGGAGAGGGCAGGTGGCAAGAACAAAGCACCCGGCCCGGACGGACTCACGGGCAAGATACTACAGGCGGTGCACAAGGCGCACCCGAACATCCTGCTGGACCTCTACAACAGCTGTCTCCGCAGCGGGACGTTCCCAGCGGAGTGGAAGACCTCTAGAGTGGTGCTGCTGAAGAAAGGGAACAAGCCGGACGGCGTGCCCTCTTCCTACAGACCCCTGTGCCTGCTGAACGACGTCGGGAAAATCCTGGAATTCCTGCTCGCGCGAAGACTCGAGGACCACATGTCGGACAGCGGTGGACTGTCGGCCAATCAGTTCGGGTTTAGGAAAGGCAAGTCGACGGACGACGCGGTGCGGGAACTGCAGAACAACCTCCTGGAAGTAGTCGACGGAGGGAAGTATTGCGTCGCCGTCAGCATCGACATCAAGAACGCGTTCAATTCCATCAAGTGGTCGGACATCATGGACGCATTGCCGGGATGGAGCGTCCCGCAGTACCTGAGGAACATGTTCCGGTCGTACTTCTCCGGGAGAACGGGAACGGTGCACGCAAACTGCGCGGAGGGCGGTACGCTGGAGATCGAGATCACCGGAGGCGTGCCCCAGGGTTCCGTCGTGAGCCCCCTCCTATGGAACGCCACGTTCGACACCGTCCTGAGAACCGAGCTGCCCAGCGAAGCCAAGCTGCTGGGATTCGCGGACGACTCGATGTTGGTCACCAGGGCCAAGTCGACACAGGAGTTGGAAGCCGTGACGAACGAAGCGCTGTCGTTGGTGGAGCGGCGGATCACGGACCTCGGCCTTCAGGTCGCGGTGGAGAAGACGGAAGCGGTCCTCTTCACGTCGAGGTACAAGTACGCGCAGCCAGCGATCCAACTGTGCGGCAGAGACGTTCAACTCTCGACCGAGATGACCTATCTCGGGATGGTGGTGGACAAGTCGATGCTGTTCAAGGGCCAGATGAAGAAAGCGGCGGCGAGAGTGGCGGAGATCGGGAACCAGTTGGCCAGGATCATGCCGAACGTGGGCGGGCCCCGAGAGGACCGACGGCGGCTCCTGTCGTCAGTGATGCACTCCGTGCTCCTGTACGGAGCCCCCAGCTGGGCGCACACGCTGGAGCTCGTGCCGGGGAACGTCAGGGCCCTGAACAGAGCTCAGCGGAGAGTTCTTCTCCGTTGCGCGTGCGCGTACCGCACCGTCTCCGAGGCGGCCACGAACGTGATCGCATCAACGCCGCCGGCAGACCTCCTGGCTAGGGAGAGAGAGGCGGCGTTCGACCGTGACGGGCCCTCGCGGCCCCAACAGGAGACAACGATCCGAGAAGCGACACCATGGAGGCGTGGCAGGAGAGATGGTCGGCGGAAGAAAAGGGAAGCTGGACAAGGCGGTTGATCCCGGACGTCCGTGCTTGGTGCGCCAGGGGCCACGGGCTGACTACGAACTTCCACTTATCACAGTTCCTGACGGGACACGGATGTTTCGGCCAGTATCTGCACCGGATTCGGAAGGTGGACAACCCCAGGTGTGTGGACTGTCTCGCGCCAGTGGACGACGCGGAGCACGCGTTCTTCCTGTGCGACAGGTGGTGGCGTCGGAGAATGGAGCTGAAGGCTGCAATCAACGACCCATTCACTCCCGAGACCGTTGTGGGGAAGATGCTGGAGACGAGGAGCAACTGGACGGCGGTGGAGCAGTTCGTGAAGGAGGTGCTGACGAAGAGAGAAGCGGAGGAGAGAGAGCGGCAACGTCAAGAGTAAAAAACTTGTTAGTTAAGTCTTCTTTGTTGTGGGCCGAAGGCCGTTTCTTAGATGGCGTAGGGCCATCTACTGCATGTAAATAGACTGTAAATATTGTCAAGTCTATGTATATATTAAAAATTGTAATTGTTGTAGTCAATAAACGATGTGGGGGGAGCTGACGAAATGCTTTCGGGTGTCTCCGGCCCCTCTACGATACCGTTTAAAAAAAAAAAAAAGGTTCCCCCTAACCTAACCTAACGACACCGGGAAGGTGCTCGAATTCCTCTTGACGCAAAGATTGGAAGACCACGTCAGTAGGAGCGGTGGTCTCTCCCTAAATCAGTACGGGTTCCGGAAGCGGCTGTCCACCGACGACGCGGTCCGCTGTTTCCGCAACACCGTTCTGGGGGAGTTGAACAACGGAAAATTCTGTGTTGCGATCGGAGTGGACATTAAAAACGCGTTCAACTCCATACAATGGCCAGACATTCTCACGGCACTTATGAGATGGAACGTTCCGCCGTCCCTGTACAATATGTTTTTGTATTACTTCTCTGATAGATCCGGCTCAGTTTCCACCAATGCAATTCAAAGCAGCAAGCTCAGCGTGCAGATAACAGGCGGTGTCCCACAGGGCTCTGTCATCGGCCCCCTACTGTGTAACATCACGTACGATTCAGTCCTTAGGGAGGAATTGCCACCCGGAGCGAAGTTACTCGGGTTTGCAGACGATACACTGATCTTGGTGTCCTCCAGGACAATCGCTGAGTTGGAGACATTTGCCAACCGGCTTCTGCAGCAAATCGGCGAGCGCATTACCAGCCTCGGCCTCAGCATTACCGTTGACAAAGCCGAAGCAGTCCTGTTCACATACAAGTAAAAATACGACATGCCGAACCTGCGAGTGTGCGGTAGCCCCATCACTCTGTCGCCGGAGATGAGCTACCTAGGGATGACTATCGACAAGTCGATGCTGTTTAAAACGCAATTCCGGAACGCCTCAGCGAAGGCCGAGAGAATCACTACAAAGTTGGCCAGGATCTTGCCCAACGTTGGTGGTCCGCGCGAAGACAGGCGTCATCTGTCATCTGTAATGCACTCGGTGCTGCTTTACGGTACGCCAAGCTGGGCCTGCACCCTGGACCTCATTCCTGCGAACGTCAGCCAGCTGAACAGACCGCAGCGTAAGGTCCTGATAAGATCCATCTGCGGTTATCGGACTATTTCGGAAGCAGCATCCAACGTCATCAGATCTACACCACCGGCTGACCTTCTCCCTAGGGAACGCGAGGCGCAATTTGAAAAAAGACGATTTGGACGACACGGTCAAGAGGGTATAGAACCAAAGAAGCGGACCCTCAGCGCATGGCAGGAAAGATGGGACAGCGGATCATCGGGGCAATGGACGAGAAGGCTAATCCCCAATGTGACGCAGTGATGCTCAAGAGGTTTTGGCTGCGTGGAATTTCATCTAACCCAATTCCTCTCCGGGCACGGCTGCTTCAGGCAGTACCTGTGGAGATTCAAAAAGGCAGATAAACCTGACAGCCACGACTGCCAGGCGTCCGTCGACGATGCTGAACATGCCTTCTTCCGTTGCGATAGATGGTGGAGGAACCGAAGGGCGCTGGAGGTAGCCATCAACCAGGAGTTTTCACCAGAATCAGCAGTCCAGTCGATGCTCGAATCAAGGAGGAACTGGTCACTAATCCATGGGTTCGTCAGCTTAGTCCTTGGAACGAGAGAGCGAGAGGAGAGAGAAAGGCAAGTGGAATCAGCTGCGGAAGAATAATATTTGTTAGTTAAGATTGTATTTGTTATAGGCCGAAGGCCAACCGTTTCGGTGGTGTAAGGCCACCTATGTTTTGTAAAATATATATACATGTATCTTTGTTTATTTACGAAAATAAATTATGTGAGGGGGGAGCTGACGAATTGCCCCACTAGGTATTTCCGGTCCCCTTTCACGATACAATAAAAAAAAAAAAAGGTTCCCCTTCCTAAGTATTGTGTAGCCGTCAGCATTGACATCAGGAACGCGTTCAATTCTATCAAGTGGTTGGACATCATGGATGCCTTGCCGGGATGGAGCGTCCCGCAGTACCTGCAGAATATGTCCGGTCGTACTTCTCCGGGAGAACGGAAACGGTGCACGCAAACTGCGCGGAGGTTAGGTTACCTACGCTGGAGCTCGTGCCAGGGAACGTCCGGGCCCTGAACAGAGCTCAACCGAGAGTTCTTCTCCGTTGCGTTTACGCGTACCGCACCATCTCCGAGACGACCACAAACGTGATCGCATCACCGCGACCAGCAGATCTCCTAGCAAAGGAGAGAGAGGCGATGTACGAGCGGAGACGGGACCCCGCGGCCCCCAAAAGAGGCAACGATCCGAAAACCGACACCATGGAGGCATGGCAGGAGAGATGGTCAACGAAGGAAAAAAGAAGTTGGACCAGGTGGTTGATCACGGACGTCCGTCTCTGGTGCGCCAGGAGCCACGGGCTGACGACGAACTTCTACCTTACGCAGTTCTTGTCAGGACACAGATGTTTCGGCCAGTATCTGCACCGGATTCGCAAGTCGGACAACCCCAGGTGTGTGGACTGTCTTGCGCCAGTAGACGACGCGGAGCACGCGTTCTTTCTGTGCGACAGGTGGTGGCATCGGAGGAGCTGAAGGCTGCAATCAACGACACATTCACTCCCGAGACCGTTGTGGGGAAGATGCTGGAGTCAAAGAGCAACTGGACGGCGGTAGAACAGTTCGTGAAGGAGGTGATGATGAAGAGGGAAGCGGAGGAGAGAGAACAGCAGAGTTAAGATTAATCCTGAAGTTAAGTCTGCTTTGTTGTGGGCCGAAGGCCGTTTCTTGGATGGTGTAGGGCAGGCACCGACAACCCGCGGCCCTCGGAACTTTTTGCTGCGGCCCTCCAAATATAATTCATGATGTTTAAAATTTTAATTTTGTAGCTTAAATTGTTATAAATAATATTTAATCATGACTATTGTATAACAATGAGAGATAAGCTACGATCGAGAACGTAATCTAATCGTATATAATGTATATATCGTCGATTACGACAAATACGTATCTGGTTATGGCCTTAGTGCAGTTCGTTTCGAAACATTCCAACGTGAAGTTTAAATTTCAACTGTTTTATAATAACCTATCAATTCAATGTCAAAAAAA